AGATCTTCCTCCTCACGCCAGTCAACGAGACATTTTGGTTTCGGTGAAAGCAACGAATTTTCCTCCACGAGATCCGCCACCTCTTCCAGCTGCGAAAGGTGTGAGCATACGTGCTCAGAAATCAAGCAATCAACCGTCTGAAAGCGACTCTTGTGCGAAGTACATAAATGTTTGCGCTCATATTTATTTTACGTTAATAAGGTATGCCTGTCTTTGCGTACACAGCAGCTTTCAAAGAGGTCGCGGGAGCCAGATTTATGCTGCTGTTTAATATTCGTTACTGCGTGTTCATTTTACACGAAGATCGCGCGAGAATTGCGAGAAAAGCGAGGAAGAAAATCGGTAAATTATATTAAAATTGAAATATCGAAGTTTCGCGTTGATAAATACCGCAGAGACGATTTGCATTCAGAATAGATTGCTTCGTAGCGATTGTTGAACATGCGTGGCGTAACTTACATCGATATATTATCCACGAATGATTTAATAATTATTTGTAAATATTATCTTCGTATTAATATTATATAAGACGAAATTAAATTTAACACATTAAATTTTAATTCATTTGAAATTAATTTAAATTAATTTTTACAACAACTTATGAAAGTTTTTCTTGATTATAATTACGATTATAAAACAGTTTATTTATGTATTTAATATATATCTAAGTCTTTAATAAAATAAGATATAGTTTTTCCAAAATGAAGAGAATATTTTTCACTGTTATATTGGACATCGAGAAACTGTTCTTCGATATTTATCTTTCAACTGAAATAAAAATTCTGATTTCAAGCGAAGAGGGAATTAATTTTGAATTAGCCACTTTGTCGAAAAATTAATATTTCATCGAAGGAAATTTATATGCACACTTCGAGTAACATCGTGAAAATAATTTACGAAGATCTGAATGAACGAAATTCTCGAAAGAGATAGCGTGTTGAACATTCAGAGTTAAACAATATTGTTGGAATTTTCTAATTGAATACACAGTACGTAGTTAATACTACGTGGAGAGAATTCCGATAAATTATACCGGTAACATGCACGCGAGTAACGATGTCGAAATATATGGACATAGTTTATGTGACTTTAACGATGATGAAAATGTCGGGGTTATGTCAATTAGGAAATAAGTAATTAATTGTATGGAGAACATTGTATGTCACTATGGCTCGCCAAAAATACAGGAACAAGACTACGAAAGACTATAATATATAAAGAAATTAATATAATAAAAATATAAAACTATAATATATAAAGAAATTAATATAATAAAAATATAAAACTATAGTATATAAAGAAATTAATATAATAAAAATATAAAACTATAATATATGGTAAAATTAATATAATAAAAATATAAAACTATAATATATAAAAAAATTCGCGGTAGAAGTTGCAAGACAGGTAAAATAATTTGTTTTAATTTCCCGGTTAATTAAAATACTTTAATAAACCTTTTAATTAATTTCCCATTTAAAAATCACTGTTATCTCTGAATACTATTAAAAGGTAACTTTCCTGTTAAAGTAAAAGTCAAGTTCCAACGCTACCGCAGCAATCAGTAACATTAATTAACTCCTCCAATTACTCGACGTGATATATACAGTACGAAAATCAACAAGTCGAGTTTTTCTGTACACGAAGCGTTTCCTCAAATCTTGCAGGACTTAAAAATTTTAATCTCTGCCTTTATTAATTTTTTAATTGAAGCTGGAAACTTCCTTCCAACCAGAGATACGTATTTGTAAATTTGTTTTCCGAATTCCTCGGAGCTTTCACCTCCTCCTCGTCGTCTTTTCGAAACTCCGGCTCCCGGTCGAATAATTCCACGCGATCTAACTGGCTCCAACTTGCAAAATTAACATTTTATCGCGAGCAAAAGTCGAAACTTCACGGGAGCTCGTGAATTTTTAATAACAACGGGATTCCGTAATTTTCAATCCCCTGCAGGAACTCTTTTTAATCCGCTTTCTCGTTGCCCGATTTCGTTTCTCCGTGTACCGTGCGCGATCACCATCCCTTTCCGAATATTACCGATGGAAAATTTCTAATTGGATGAGCCCTTGCGAGAGTGTTCGATTGGTAGAACAAGGGCAAGAGAGGAACGTAGGGTTCCTTCGAAAATTCATTTTGCAGTCGAATGGACTTCATTCCGTAGGTACAGCCCCGAGCTTATGAAATTTCGAAGAATAATATTAGATAGGAATTAGGAAGTTTGGAAGCCTCGTAGTTACGTTGAAAGATGGAAGCTTGGGAGATCGTTGCATTCCAAAATGGAAACTTGGGAGATCGTTGCGTTCCAAAATGGAAGCTTTGGAAATCGTTGCGTTCGAAGATGGAAGCTTGGGAGATCTTGCGTTCGAAGATGAAAGCTTGAGAGATCGCTGCGTCCCAAAATGGATGCTTTGGAGATCATTGCATTCCAAGATCGAAGGTTTGGAAATCGTTGCGTTCGAAGATGGAAGCTTGGGAGATCTTGCGTTCGAAGGTGAAAGCTTGGGAGATTGTTGCGGTCCAAAATGGAAGCTTTGGAAATCGTTGCGTTCCAAGATGGAAGCTTTGGAAATCGTTGCGTTCAAAGATATAAGCTTGGGAGATCTTGCGTTCGAGGATAAAAGCTTGGGAGAACGTTGCGTTCCAAGATGAAAACTTGAGAGATCGTTGCGTTCAAAGATGGAAGCTTGGGAGATCACTGCGTTCCAAGATGGAAGCTTGGGAGATCACTACTTTCCAAGATATAAGCTTGGGAGATCACTGCGTTTCAAGATGGAAGGTTGGGAGATCGTTGTGTTCCAAGACAGAAGCTTGGGAGATGATTGCATTCCAAAATAGAAGCTCGGGAGATCACTGCGTTCCAAGATGGAAGCTTGGGAGATCTTGCATTCAAAGATGAAAGCTTGGGAGATCGTTGCGTTCCAAGATGGAAGCTTGGGAGATTTTTGCGCTCGAAGAAAAAAGCTTTGGGATATCTTGCGTTCGAAAATGAAAACTTGGGAGATCACTGCGTTCCAAGATGGAAGCTTGAAAATCATTGCGATCCAAAATGGAAGCTTGGGGGATCACTGGGTTCGAAAATGGAAGCTTGGGAGATCATTGCGTTCCAAGATGGAAGCTTGGGAGATCATTGCGTTTCAAGATGGAAGCTTGGGAGATCGTCGCGTTCCAAGATGGAAGCTTCGGAGATTTTTGCGTTCAAAGAAAAAAGCTTTGAGGATCCTTATCTTTCCAGAAGAAAGCCTCTTTTCGTGGCAGGAAAATCGAGATAACAACGAGAATCGACGAGAGGCATGAATTTCGCAAAATATCCAGCTCTCTGTATTCCATTTACGAAATACCCTTGAGCGATTTGGTCGAAAAAATTGTAATTATGCTGCAGTATTTAAATCGTGAGAGGGAATTCAACCATCAGCTCGATCTCTGGTAAAAATATTTAATCAGGTCCTGCTCAATTATTTGTTGCACGAAAACTAATTTTGATCCATTCCGATAAATTATAAAACGATAAAATTAAATTATACGACAATGAAATTTATCCAATTTATAAATAATTCACTTTGAGTACAATTTCACTCCTCAAAATAACAATTAAAGCGTGATTGAAATTTACTTTTGTTAGACGATAAAACGAGATTCCGATATACGAAAGTAACGTGATTAAAAATTTCGATTGCATCAACGTGTTTTAATTGTATTATTTGAAATCTACTTTCGTCATTACGATTCTGGATTTGTATTTAAAATCGATTGACAAACGGATATGTACCTATACATATGTAGTATATTTTACAATATGTTATTAGACAAAGATATTCTGTTGAATTTTGTTTTGGGACTTGTTCAATTTCGAGATTACGATTCCAAGATAATTTCTTAGAAATTACCTTCGCGTTTGGTCAGTTCTCTACATTTCAATTATGCATGCCACCTTTTGTAATTTCGATTCATGAAACCTGATTGAATGAAATTCTGGTAGAAACCAGAATTAAAGAATGATATGTATCACTTTTTACTTTATGGTGTTATCTCGATAAATTTTCTTCTTCCAAATAGAAATTTTCATCGATTGGTACAAATCGAGTTCAAATTTAATGCCACTGAAGTAAATTTCGTATTTTAATCAATCAATTATGTTACCATTTATTTTAGCTAGCTAATTTAGCATTCAAGCAGTCGTTTTTAATATATTCTATAATTTTGATCATCACGAATAAATATATTTTAATTCTTAAATATAAATTCTTTAATTTAATTCTTTAAATATAATATTATTTTAATATTTAAATATATTTCAATGACCGAATAAATATATTTTAATTACAGAAATAAATTTCTGATTTTAAATTTTGATCCTCGATTTAAATTAAATATTTCAAACCTAGTCTACAGAACTGATTGAAATTAACTTAATTGACTGATCTTGTCAATTAATTTATCACAATTGATTCTAAAATCTATTCTTGATTTTACATTTTAGTAAAGAATTTAAATTATATACTTTTAACGCAACTTGTAATATTAACCACCACTAATGAATGTTTTATAGTTAATTCTGCAGTCCTTTTCCGATTTTAGATTTTAATGATAAATTTTCCTTCTTATACATTAGTATTATATATGTACAACGCCAAAATGAAATATCGAAATTACATTATTTATAGAACATCATATTTATACTGAATGCAATAATTTATAAAATTCCGAAATAGTTAGAAAATATTTACAAATTTTTACATGCTATTTCCCAGCACCATGGATTCGTCAAAATTATTATTCACAGTATTATATTTTTACTAGAAAATTTTACTCCCTCCCTTATCATATCCCTAATTTGTTACATTTAATTCCTTCTACCGAGGAATTATAAAGAAATTAGCTCGACTACAATAATTAGCAGTATAACGTATCACTTATATCTCTAACCTCGACATATGAACCGTTAATAATCAAGGTACTGGCTAAATTGTTGAGTACACATGCAATATATATGTGAAACTCACCATTAATAACATGAACGTTGATGCTGGCCCTTTCAGCCACAGTGGGCACGCAACTATAGTTTCCAGAGTCGCTTCTCTTTACATGGGTGATCTTTAATCTGCAATGAAATGAAAAATTGACGTTTGATTTTGTACTTTGCTGATCCATATTCATTAATCGTAATTTCTATATAATTCTAGTTACATACCATAATAAAATTTGTACATAAAATACATAAATAAGAAAAATAAAAAAGAAACATAAGAGAAGCATAGATTAGGTGAAATATAAATATAAGAACGTATATAAAAATGTAAATATAAATATAAATATAAGAATGGGAGTTGCAGTGATATGGGCAAGTCTCGAACGTTGTTGAGAATAAAATAAATAAATAAATAAATAAACATATAAAACTGATCACTAAAAGATTATTTCTTCCTCATGAAAATGTTCACTATGTATTATAATACTGTATTCGAATGTCATAAATTAATTAAAAATCACGAAAACACGAGGAAAGCTTTAATAATAACCTAGTACTAAACTTGCACAAAATTTGCAACAGATTATAATGCGAAAATTATTTGTTAACATATAACGCAGCGATACAATAACGAATAAATAATAGGTCAATTGATAGATTTGTTGAACTGCTGAAAAGTTTTAATTAAAATATTAATTGTGGTATTACTTCGACCACTTCATCGATAATAATAATTTAGACGTATTTAATCAACTTCTTCCTACAACCTTCACCGTTACCAATTTAACATTGGAGGTGCACACAGGTCGATCCATAGAATTCATTATTACTTGTGGCTCATTGTGCTGATCGTTCGGGTTTAGTTAAATTTACACGTGGTACGTTGATCTAAAGGGGTCCGAAGAATCACTTTGTTAACAGGTAAATATCAGAGAAAATCTAATATTTAAAGCTCGACGTTGATTACGAATAACTATCACACCACTCGTGACTTTAAAAAATTCCTTTCTGAACTAAGGTCCTTCGAGTTTAATCGAATAATGCTAAAAATGAATATTCACCTAATTGAAAAATCAGTGGAGGTCTCATACTGTTGACCGTGTTAAAAAACCAAGAAAAATAGCATTCGACCCTCTTAACACGTTGACTGCCATGGTGGTTACCAGCATCCAGTGATACTAATTTCTTAAATTTATATTTGCTTTATTTGCTTCATCCTAATCAATTTTTGAACATTCGAACAACGTAAATAAATAGAGAACCTTGAATAGAAAATGTTAATAATTTGCACCGTTTTCTTTTTCTTTGCCATATTTAATAATTCATCGTAATATTCTAAGAAAATTCCAAAACACAGCCAATAACACTCCATTACCTAGATAGTTCACTGTAACTAACAGTAACACATTCGAAAAACTAAGACAAAATTTAAAAAAAAATTTTTAATCAATTTCAGGCAGAGACTATGATCAGAAACATCAACGTGAAACTATACACACCACCATAACAGAATTTGTACATTCAAAGTTGATCAGATCAATTGCAAATCACGTGTCATAGACTACACCAACATAGAAATATGAAGTTCATGGTGGAAATAAATCTGTTATTACCATAAGACCAAGTTTTAAATCGTCATTATTTACATTTATTCAGAGACCAGTAATTTCATCGAGGAGGGTTGAATCTTCATTCTTTGCGTCATTTACAAGACAGAATATCCTTAGCTTTTTCTCTTGAGCAGCCATCCAAGGGGAATAAAGACCTGCTAGCTGATCACCAAGAGTAAAGAGAGAAAAAGAGAGAGAGAGAGGAAGCGTTGATGGTCGCTAACTCATGTTGCAATTTTACGACACTCCGTTACTGTCAACTCTGTAGAAACGCGAGGACGCAGCAACTCATCTGACCCTTTTACGATACTCTGTAAGTACCTGCAACTGGTTCAGACGATACAGTAATTTTGCCGAATCGATGATAGGCGAACGTAGCGATTATACGCGTGCGTGGTGCTAATACCCGTGTGCCAGTTGAATTTTTAACGATGATGAAGCATTATGGGAACGTTGCTTTCGGTTATCATCGATCTGGTAATTTTCCAGGATCGATGAAATCCGGAAGCAATAATCACACGCGTCTGTGTGACTCTGGCACACGTAAGGATTGGATTTTGGATGAAAATTGGGTGAACGTTGTCGTGGGTCAGAGCAACCATAAGTTACAGACTACGATTTACATATTGAAAGGTTAAGTAGCCAAAATCAAATTGGAAAGGAGGTTCATATATTAACCCTTTCAATCCTGCAGATGTATGACGTCACGCTACAACATGACTGCGGATGTAATACAACTTCCATGGATTTCAAAGCTGTTAGAGCTCCGAAAATTCTTTCTGAACGCAATCCAACTGTTCTGACGTGTCCTGCCAGCTCCTGGGATAAGAGAGAAATTTCTTTCAATACAAGATTATTGCTGCATTATTCTACCCTCTGTGAAAAAAATTGTGAGACCATGTGTTTCACGTCTGTGTGCACTTTATAGGCCTTAGTTCATAGATCACTGCCCTAAATGTTATTTTTTATTCGTATATTTTCTAAATATTTGCTGTTTAGAACGTTACATAAGATATTAAATTTATAATATATAATAGTGTAGGAATTTTCTTTATTGGCTCGCTTTTCCTACAAAATAATTCTATCTCTTCACACACTGACCTGACTACTTGATGACTGCTTAATAACCATCTTTGTAACTGACTTGTAACTCCTTAGTAACCCCTTTGTAAGTAGCTGACTCTGTCCCCCAGAACGGGCCCCCTTAAAGCCCGTCCAGAGGACAAGCGCCTCCCCGAAGGAGGAGAAACTCCCTCTACCCCAAGGTTAAGGGTACAGGAGACTTCTTCCTCCGAGTTAGCTCCACCAAAGGGTCACTCTAGGTTTGTGCCAGGGAAAGATGGGGTTGCGCCAAGCCACCTCACGTGTCCTGGCCCCGACCCCCTATGGCCCATGTGGAAGCCAAATACTAATGGGTCCTCTAGACCTAAGTTCCGGGCAATGACACGCTACCCTAATAAACGAGTGTCCCTCATTTACTATTCCTATAATAATCAACAAAGAAATTTGCTTGGTAGTATTTTCCTAGTGTAAACAAATAAAATATTTCAGTGCTTTTTGAACTTCTGTATTCATCTTCATCACCACAGGTAAGCTTATAATGCGTGATATTATATTTTGATCAAGTTTTTATCAGATTTAAACAGAAATAAAATTTGGTAAATTAATTCAGGACAGAGAGTTAGCTACTCTCTTCATAACTCAGAAGTGAAAGGGGATTAAGCTATAGTGATTTAATCTGCGTTGATGAGATTGAACAATACTCGTCACTCGAGTCGTTTAAAAAAGATACGATGGAATGGGCGATGTACTGACCGCGATAAAATCGATTAATCAAGGAATCATTTAATTTGGTCGTCATCATTGGTGATTTAATCGTCGTTCTAACGTACAAAAACATGTGAGATGCATAAATTTGGGAAAGCAATTGCATATGAATGATAGAAATGGCTTTAATTTCACCAGTGGTTATCGATACGCGGTTCCGCCGATGGGATGTACGAAATAATTCATGACGAAATTAACAATGAAACATCGATGATCTAACGGCTATTAATTGCCGTTTAATAACGCTTGTGGTAGGATGAATTTCTCTTCCACCAAATGCCCAACGCGAAAAATATACACGTTTCGTGATTCAATTTCGTTGGTCATTCATCAACTGAAACTTTAATTACTTCATAGTAATTCATTAATACGAACTACCGCAATTACCATTAAAAGCCACGAGTTGAGTGTTTCCTGTGTAGTTAGGAATAAATCGTGAATAAAATACAAGCATTTCCTGTTTCTGGATGATAAATCTTCGGCTCGGTTGGATATTTATGATATGTTACTCTATGTAATTTTCAACCAACGACGGTGCTTTAATTAATTATTAACGATTAAATGCATACAACATCGGAATTATTCTGTAAGCAATTATTATACGAGATGACTATTTTTTGACGCTAGAATTATCACACCGTTCGAAGGCAGAATTTTTGATTTTGCAGTCATTCAAAGCTACCTTTTGGAACAGTTAACGATTTTTACGATTTGGAACAGTTAAATGATTTCTGTTAAAACAGGAATTCAGTAATAATAATACTAATATACATTACAATATAATATAAAATACAATAAAAATTATATATGGAATATTAATGATATATATATTTATACTTATTTATTTATTTCCATTATAATAATTTAATATTATTCACGTATAATTTATATTTTAAAGAATTTGTAGTTGACATAAGAGATTGCTTATGCGAATATTTTTGTGAAATTTTGTAGCTACGAATAAGGTAAATAATAGGAACAATCATACGGTATCAGCTGAATCGTATTGAACTTTACAGAGTGTATTGATATTATTTTGCGATAATATTTGATTACGGGTTCAGCTTTGAAAATAAATTTTCCTCGTGTTCAATCCACTTTTTGTCCTATTACATTAGCGAAACGAGAATCGATTATTAATAAAACGGACCTTTAACAACAAATATTTTAACGCGCGAATGTGCGTTATCGTTGTTCCAATATAAATAGATTATTAATAAAATATGTAACAGTTCAATCAATAAATATCAATCAGCGAAAACAATAATATTGTCAGAATATTCATATCCATACCGTCGTGGATATCGCATCGAAGCATACTCAAAGGTTAATAAGCAAATGCCGTTTACATCAACGTTTTACAATTTTTCGACGAAATTTTGTAATTTCCCAAATGGGGATTAAATATATAAAATAAAAATATGGAATTGAAATGTAACTTAATGGATGGCAGTGTGCGATAATTTTACCTTTCGCAATTAACAAATCCATCACGTTATATGCGACTTTACATTTCGAAACAGAAAGAATAATAATAAAATACATAATCAATATTTTGAAAAAATAAACCGGATACTTTCTTCTCAGTAATTAAGAGAATGTACCATCTTCTATCTATTATCTTCTGAAATACTTTCTCTTCGATATTTTTGATCTCTTTAATCACAATACATCTAAATTCGATCACTATACTTA